TTTTATCAGCTCAAAGAGTCAATAGAATAGATTGAAGTAGTGTTTTGATTTCATTTTTCATTAAAAAAACACTAATTTCGAGTAGCTCGAATTTCGGGTAGCTCGACCCGGTGCATATCTAATTGTTACTGTCTGAAAAATTAGCTTCCAGTTGTAAGCTGAGAACCGCGGTTGTGATCTGAGTTCGGAACTGGAGCCGCGGTTTCTTTCGTTTTGGTTCTAAGTCGAGAGCCGAGAACCGAACATTCCTGCTCATCAATTAATATCATCACAAATAAATTCAATGATTGCTGATCTTACTAATAATCAGTGGCAATCCGTCATGCATAACCAATATTAGCACCATAATTAGTTTTCACTTCGTATCTATGCGCAGTATAGTAACCAGTTTAAAGCTCTTATTGCTTCAAAAAAAGCTTGGAACAAAAATAAATAAGACTATTCCTTATCAATCGGTGTGTGGATTTTGAAATTGGGAATTTTCACCATTCTTTTCTTTGTACATTAATGAAATGTGATGTTATGTGTTCACATGTATGGCGGTCTCTCTCAAAACACGAATATGCTCAAGCATTTAAGTACGCACTCTGCTATATCATTTTCCAATAGTCATAATCCACAATAGATTATGTTCGCAATGCTCAAGGGTCATAATAGTCGGAGGCTAGTGCGGGTGTCATAGCAGTTCAGTCAATGAGCAGCTATAGTGATATTAAAAATTTGTCAAAAAATTATCAATATTTTGAATATTGTTTGCATTTAGATCAGCATTAAGCAACACGATAATAGTCAGCCTGTTTTATCTAATTACGATCACGTACTCTATAGGCATGTAACGGTAACGATTACCGTAGCTTATCGGTAACCGTCCTTACTGGCAACAGGTTCTTAACGTTTACAGTTTAATTCTTTAAAATAATGTTAACCCATATTTTCTTCTTCAAGAAAACATTTTTGAGGATTGTGCCTAGACCATAAAATAAGGAAGAAGAAAGTATGGATGAATATTTTTTCAACAAACTAAACTGTAACCGGTAAAGAACGGTTATCGATAAGAGACGGTAAATTATCATTACTATTGCATGTTCGTTTCTCTCGTTCTCAATCATTGAATAAATATTATATACTGGACTCAGCAATAGCTCTGAATTGCTTTTCATGTACACCAGCTTCAGGATTGGAATATGTGTTGTTCTTTTTCATGAAAGACATAAAGGAAAATGAGAGTCAAAACTATTGTAAGCCCAATAAATATTTCATTTTACTTCGTACACGCAGAGGGACGAAAGAACGTAAGGTGATTTTTTATTTCACAAATTGTTTCAAAAATTTATCTGTTCGAGTGACGAGCAAAAAAACTTGAACAGAATTATACAATCAACTGACCATTCATGTTCAATGAAAGAATCAACGACAGACTAAAACTATATGTATGCTATGCTGTTCGTCATCAAAAAGTGACTATATAAAAAACATTTTCGTTTTTTTTTTTCATTATTAAATACAACAGAGCTTTGAAAAATAGTGGTATTCTTTTCTTTCCTATTTTGCTTTCTTATTCGCATGTTTTAACGGGCGTACATAGTATAGATAGTCTATATAACGTAAATAAAAAAACAAATAAAAAATAAAATAAAATAAAGTCATTATTTTTCGCAGCTCTATTATATTACAAATGTTTTCTTTCTTCTCCATGTATTCTTATGTATTTAACTGACTTTCTGCATACAGATTTATGATTCGAATGAAAGAATGATGAACGAATTTCAAGTAGATTTTATATCCTTGTTATTTATTTGTTTAATCCGAAATTTTAGTGTCTCGTAGGAATTAGAATTAACAGATTTCACCTTGGATTCAGCTACTGGGTAAATAAGAAATTGATACAGTGTACTATAAATAATTTTAAAATAAAAGATGTTTTCTAACTAAAACATTTTCTAAAACTGATGTCAGCATGTAAACAAAGTCTAAACATTGTTACTAAATTGATATCAGTTTTTATTTCTAATTCGATCTTTATTAGCATCCCCATCATTTTCATCATCGGTTAACGTTATTTTCTCAAAGTGACGATAAGATTGCACACCACATTTTCCTTGATATACATTATATTCATACGCACGTTTATTTGCACAATAAATACGTTTACGTGCTTCATAAATCATTTTTAAATCTGTTGGATTTTTACGTGGACGTCTAACAGAACGCATTGCAATCAAATCTGCATATGTTTGACGTTGCAATGTTTCCGATATAGCAAGTAGTGGTTCAATGCCTTGAGGAGTTGTGTTTGTTTTCTGACTATCATTGACAAGTTCTGATGCTGATATTTGTACACCCGCACCTATGACTGATGATGTATTCATATCATTCTTAATTTTGTCATGATGCATCTCATTCGTCGTTTTTGGACGATGAGGTTTTGGTGAAGCTTTTTTCTTACGTGATGTTGCAGACTGTGCATGAATTTTACTCGGTATCTCAGCTATTTTCATATTAGGTGTTGATTGACTTTCGAAATCTTTTTTTTCTATATAATTTGTGGTGGATATCATAGGTACAACAGTTGCTGATTGTATTAGTCTTGGTTTATGAGTGGTAGTTTGTGAATGTCCTTTTAAAAACTCTTGAAGCTTTTCATTAACATCTTGTCGACGTTTTTCTTCGGTGGGTGGTATAACGACAGTTTGCTGTTTACCATCTATTAAATTTTGTAAACTTCTTGCTTGAGATTCATAGTACGAATCACGTACACCAAATCGTTTATGTTCATAATTAATTAAATTCTTCTTCAATTGTCGAATATATGATTCTTTTTTCCATGCATAAAGTAATTCACGATTAAATTTTGTTTTTAAATCATATGCTTGCATTTCCTTAATGAAATCAATATAATACGATTTTTGGCGTTCATTTAATTTACCTTGTATAATTTTATTTTTTTGAAATGCTTGTAATAAATTTGTTTGTAATGTAACATCTGAATGATGTTTCATGATATGATCTTCTAAAGATAAGCATAGAACCAGCAGATCATTCAACTGCATCTGGACAGCTGGATCTCATTAACAGAGACGTCAGGATACTAACATTTATATCTCGATCTAGATACCATATATCTCCGATCGTACAGGGTTGTGCATAACCTTTTGCTAGAGGGGTACAGCTACAACAACAAATGATATAAAAATGAATTATATACAAAATGAAAGCTCATCGAAAACGGGATTATTGAGTATAACTGGTAATCCACAGGTTGATTATGAGCTGTAGAATAATGGAAATTTCTAGCGGATACGCGTCAATTCTGGGGATAGTGGTGCTCTCAGTAAAACACCCATAACTTCATTAGAAGAAAAGCTTTTTCTATCGGGTTTGTTTTGCTTTGATCAGAAATGATTGCTCTTCATTACCTAACTGCAGAATCAAAACTTTGATCATGTTTTCCGTCTTTTGCTCGAGCACATTCTTGAAAACGGGGAGAAATTTTTGAAACTTCTTTCTCCAGCACACGATCTGCTTTAAAATCTCTTTTTACAGACCACGAGAAAGAGCTCATTCAAAAGTACAAAAAGAACCGGGTGCTCACTTTTGCTACACTTTTTGTGGAAATGATAGCAGAAGAAAAAAGTTCAAGTCGAAAAAAATACCAAAAATACAAAGGTTTTGTTTTTTCCGCCTTTTGTATAATTTATGTAGTTTTCTTGATTGAAGTTCGAAAACTAAAGTTTAGGTATGGTTTTGTAGAGTGTTTCATGGCGCATCTTTTGAAAAAAACACTAATCTTAGCATCCTAAAGGAACACGAGAAAAATAGAAAATACTAAGAGGCTCATTCATTATGACACACTCGCTAGAAACTTCCATAATTCTATAGTTCATAATCAACCTATGGATTACCAGTTATACTCAATAATTCCGTTTTCGATGAGCTTTCATTTTGTATATAATTCATTTTTGTATCATTTGCCGTTGCAGCTGTATCCCTCTAGCAAAAGGTTATGCACAACCATGAAGTATAGAATGTCAGAAAAGTAGTAAGAAACGATTCGTGCAGAATATTTAATGTGAGGGCTCGGAAAATTAGACCAAACATCTATAAACAGTATGGTAATGTGAAACTAATTTTTTGACCACTTAAGAAATGCTAAGACTCGGCATGGTTTTTGCAATTGGTGTATGCAGATTGTGATTGTGATTATTCTACATCAATTAGAGGTAGGCGATGGATTGTCTTTGGGGATTGTCTCGCAAGTTTCTAGAAATCTGCGTCGAGGAGATCTGAAAGCTTTCTGCTCTGTCGCCTCCGTGTCCACCGTCAACTATTGATAAAAGTTTTCCCTGACACTTTCTTTATCGATCCTTGTGACTTCGGAAAAGTATGTCATATGTGATGGGTGACGATATAGCCGCAATCGATATCATAATTACAGGACAAGGAAGTAAATATATCGAATGAACAAAAGAGAGCGGGAGAGGGAAATAATATGGATATTCACATTCTTGATTATAATTACAACGCATGAATCTGTTGAAGAAAAAAAGACGAAATAGTTAAAAAAGAAAAACATTTTTCATTGAAGAAAAACAGCCATTAGTCGCTCTTTAGCTTACCTCCACTTGAGCAAACTGCTGTGTGTGAGGTAGAAGTCATACGTAACTTACTAAACAAACATATTTTTCAAGTGTGAACTGGAAAGAATATCGTCCAGCATCTCTATTTCGTCTTTCGCTAACAAGAAAAATTGTACCTCTCGAGATTTACGTCATGAAGTCCTTGCCTCGTCATCGTCTCGTGCTTCGTCAAGCTTTCAAAAAATCTTCCTGGCGGGATCCGCTTCGTGAAGAATCGCTGAACCTTACGACGATCCTCGTCGACCGTCCACCCCTGATGTCTATTAGATCTATAAACTTAGTATAAAGTGGGCTAAATGTTCTTGGACCGTATTGGGATTGACAAGTGAGTTTCAAACAAATTGAATTGAATGTATTTTGACTTAACATGTTACATAGTCAGGAAACAGTAAACAAGTAAAAGAAAATGTTGCTTACAGAAGGGACACTGTTACCGATAAAAAGAGAGAAAAAGAAAAGATAAAAAATGAATCACAATACAGTGAGAGAAAAAGAGAAAGAACAAAAATCGTTCTTCGGAGCCACAAAAGGAAGAGCAAGAGCATACTAAAAATAAATTAGACGATTTTTGAAAAGCATTTGAAAAACATTAAACTGGCCGTGTGTACTATTGAGGAAAGAAGATCATTCCACTGCTTAGAGGTGAGGGGTAAGAAAGAAGAAGATGAAAACGCTCGCAGTATCCATAAAATACATCAAAACATGTAGTTCCTAAACATTTTCTGCGAATTCTAAAAACTAAAAGCTTTCTGAATAAGTTTTGCGTCCAGATGACTGTTATGAGATATAGAGGATCATTTTAAGTCAAAAACAATCATTTATGTTGACAAGAAAGTTGATGCCTATCTGTCTACAACGAAGCGCTCACTTTACGATTTATATGAAGATACTAAAGGTGGTTTCCATTTGAGGTTATATCATTCGACTATTTGTAGTACTCAGACTCATTCATCTTCTTCTAGGTCGTATGAAAAGCAATGAAGTCGGTATTCATTTGGCCCCGTTTCAGCAACTCTTTAGAAGTTCCCCTAATATCTTCTAGAAACGATTTATTGAAAAAACAAAGTTGCTTTTGAGAGCTAAATTCGGTTCTATTGGCTTACTAAACGAACGCGTTCAACACCGAACAGCACAGGCGCAAAAATGATTAGTCATATTGGTCTCGTAGATGAATTTTCATGCTGGACTTCGATTAGCAGACAGACATGGATATAAAACAAATGTTGCTACTTTTACTTTTTTTCTGATAATTTCATCTTACACGCTAAAGCTAACAGTCTACACTATTCCTAAAAAATTTTATTCAGACTTACCTTTAACATTTCCTATCTGTTTCTTCTAGAAAAATCGCAGTAAGACCAAAAACCGGTAGATTTTTACCAGTATTAAGAAGCCAGCAAATAAGAAGATATCTCTATTCACATAAGATATCCCATGTGCGGCACATTTTTACACGCGTCAATAGAAAAAAAAGAGAACAGAAATATACGCATGTGCGAAAAGAGCTATCCCTCCCGTATTTGCTAGTTCTCTATTGTCAATCTTCGCCGATGATATGGGCTTAAATCTGAGTTGGAAATCGCTTATATACCTGCTACTAAATACAGATTCACGCCTTTAACTAAACATTCATCAAGCATAGATCGGTATTTCTAGGCTATCTACAAGGAAATGAATTATTAAGTGTCTTTCTTATTCAACTGTCTCTCATAACTGCCATGTGCCTATTCGAAAACATGTGAAAAACATATGGGCAAAAATGACTGTTATGCTCAAAATGCAGTCTAGTCACATAGAATATACTTTTTCTTAATCAATACATGACCGAAATCGCATGGTTTTTTAAAGTCCATAGAAAACTGACTACGCCATAACAAAGAGTTTAGAAAATTGTTTAGAATTCAATTTCTCTAGCTGTGATTCTTTTTTGCAGCGTCTTTTATCGTCGTGCAGACAAGACTTAACTAGCTCGAAGCGTCTAAGAAAAGTAAAAAATTTGAGATTCTAAGTGAGTTTGACGTTAAGTAGACTTTTTAAATAGGTTCTAATGTATACAATGTTGAAACCTTTTTCTATAAAACAACAACAACAGTTACAGTAGTGCTGATGCATTTTTACTAAAATCTTGTATTTGAGCGTACCCTATAACGTGAAAACTATATATTGTACATAATCCATACTGAAGATAATTTTCGCATCGTTGTAATCTAGTCATCTGTTACTATGGCACAAAATAATCGTAAGGATCAAAATGATTCTTTTTTTCGCTTCTCCAAGGTTAATAATGGAATTTAAAATGGTATTAAGAATAATTGAAAATAATACAGAGAAAAAAGAGAGTGAACAGATTGCTTGTCATAAATAACTCGTACATGGCGTTGTTATTTTGTTTAACTGAATTTAAAATGGTTAATAGCTGCTCTGTACGTGTATCACTGAAAAACAACCCAACTTATATGCAAAGCGTATATTTGTCAGAAATGTTTAGCTTACGAGGGATCAATTCAAGGTGTTCTCTCGTTTTTTGCCAGAAATATAGCTGATGATAGGTAATCGACGATACCAATTCCGAATATGGCAGTCATTTAGGCTCTTGTTGCTTTTTTAGTTCAAAACTTAAAAGAAAGACCGTTCAGTCTCCGAAAGTTCAAATTTCGTTTTCTTGAAAACTGTGTTTTGACAACGCCAAATTACAGAGGATGTCAAACTCTGTATATTCATCCATTTTTAGTGGCATCAGACATATTTTAGGGGCGCTAAAAATCATTTGAAAAATTAACCGTTTTTGTGAACCGTTATTACCAGTTGAAATTAATAAACTCACAGTTCAGTTAAAACACGTCCGGCAAACTAAAAATTCATGTATACAACTCGATATGCTCTGCAATCTGGCATCGTTGAAACTACTTTAGAAAAAATTAGAAAAAAAAAAAAAACAGACAAACGGTGTTCGTTGGGATAAAGTTTATTGCTTAATATAAAAAACTGAAACAGCGTATAACACAAAATCAGAATTTCTGCCATAGTTGATTTAAATAGGATATCATTCGCAAGGTGGGCAATAGTCATAAAAATATCTTTCTGCTCATCAGTTCTGAATTCAAACTCATGTTACAACTCAGAGACAGAACAAATACTCATATTATTATAGTACGTCTTTCACAGTGTGTACGTTTCTTTTTTTCTGTAATTCCTATCTTCAGTTTATTAGTTTGTGTATATTTTTATATTCGTTCTCAAAGTGCTTTTGTAGTTAATTTGTATGATGTTGTTGCTTCGTAATGATGAAAAAAAAGTGAAAGACTCGAGAAAAAATGAATATTCCAACTTATGTGAATAAAATCAATCAAAAATTCCTGTAGGCTATCTCATAATGTGTCTAAAAATTGTTTGAATTATAAAAAGAACATTTCTTTTTACTTCGTTTTGAGTACTTGGCATGATCGTAATCTGAACAAATGCGTTTATTCATAAACATACGTTCTGTTCGGTATTAAACTTACCTAGGCACAAAAACTCGTTAGAAACGGCAAAAAACGTGTTTTATAAAAACACGATGCGAAACTCTCGTTTCTTAATCCGTTTTCACGCGTTTTTTAGAAACGCGTGTTTGTTTCATTCTTCAGATGAACCATTTACCGCGTTTTTTGATCGTTAAAAACAGAATATAAACGACTCCGCAACTCCTGAATCGTTCCAGAAACGCGTTTCATAACGTTTGTTTCATTTTGCGTTCTCATGCATTTTTAACGGTTGAAAAGCGCAACTGATTTCTGATGGTGTATGAAACTCAGTAGGAAAAACAATATAGATTAACCACGTTTTAATGGAGAAAAAAAGCTTTTTTTTCGGGCTAATATTCATGAAGAAGGAAATGTTTTCGGACGAATGTTTTCGAAATGTGAAAGAAAATAATGGGAGAAAA